TGTCTCCCATGAGCAGCTACTTTGCTAGTCTCAGTTGTTGGTTCACTGAAACTGTTTTCGGTCTTTTGTTCTGTAAAATAATTTAAAACCTTTGTTTTCTAGTCACCTAATCTGTGCCTGTTGAACACCATCCAGCCATCTCTCCTTCAAGGCTTTAACATGCCTGCTGTGCTGTGTTTTGTGCCTCTTACTTTTCAGTTATCTGCACTTGTTCATTCTGGCATCATTCTCAGAAGACTGTTCATTTCTACGCGGTCCCCTCTTCCTAAAAATCTATTAACGATTTGACATGCATTCAATAACTGATCAACTTTTCCAGGTGCCAGACTGAACTTGTCGTTAGGATCAGTGGATGTCTTTGTTCCTTTTAATGAGTGTAAATCTGCTTAGCGGTACTTCAGTGTGTTGGTGTGTTAATCGCAGACACTTCAGGCTGGTGCAAGGTTATAAATGTTGAGCATGAGAGTGTGCTTTTTGGTTGGTGTGCTGTTTTAAATTTATTTTTTATTAAAAAGTCACTTTATTTGCAGCTGGTAATCAGGTAATCACTTTGCCTTCCTATCTGTGAGACGCACTATAAAGCTTTACCTAAACGCAATGAATAAGAGTGGATACTTTTCTTAGAAGGCATGCTATTGAGTAACACAGCACCTCCTCAAACACAGTTTAACAACTGTAGTTACCACAGTCCCTTAAAAGTGGCACTGGTTAATTCTTTTTCCTTCCCTTCTGCCTCCTCCATCCATCTTTCCCTTCTTCTGTGTGCACTCCGACCCACTTTCCTCCCTGGGTCAATAGTGTGGCTTCTTCCGACGGGCGCACTACAAGGACAAACTGCCTCAGTACCACGCGGTCAAGATTCCTCGCGAGGACCGGCCTCAGTTTCAGACTGAGAAGTCAGGAGGCGTCCAAAAAAAGGAATGGGCCACACACTGGAGCGACGGGACCTCGTAACCTGCTTTGATGCCCTGACTTTAAAAAAAAGAAAAAAAAAAGTGCAACACTCATTGTCTTTGCTGTTGAATTAACTGACTAAAAAAGTGCACAGAGACTGGGATCACGAAACGTTGTGCACACCTCACTTCATCATTGCTTACATACTGATGCGTTTTCTCAATACTGTAGCCTACTGAAGGCCTTACATAGCTTATTTAGTCTAAATCAATATCATAGTATTGTACTGAAGGCCTACGACAACATTAAAACCAGTCGAGCTGCTGAGTACGTTCCCCAGCCCTCACTGCTGCTTCACTGTCTGACATCAGAAAGAAGGACTGAAAATCAAAGACATGCATAAGCACCACATGCAGATCCTAACAGACACACACAGATATACTGGACATTATAATAAAGAAGCCAGTGCCCATGACAAAGACTACTTTTTGCCTTAAATACTGTAAGACTGAAGATTCATATGGGCAATGAAAAGAAAATGCATTTTTCTATATATAAAGGACTTTTTTTAGTACTGGTTAAAGCACTGGGTGGGTGGATGTTCGTGTTTCGATGAATGTGTTGTCTTCTGGGCTCGACGATTACTCTGGGTTGGCTCAAGAAGCCATTTAAAAAGTTCATTGATAGCTTTTGTAGGGCTTTGTTCAATTGCCTGAGTAACTTGAATAAGAACAAGAAACCACAATACAACCTATAACATGCCGTAGCCACGACCAGAGCACTGTTGTCACATGTGTCAGATTAAAAAAAAAAGCAATATTTAAGGTATCGTGTGCTCTTCATCTGTTTATGAAAATTTCTGGTAGTTTTTTTATGGATGTCTTATGATGACATAACAGTGTAAAAAAATCGAATAAGTATGAAAACTTACTGTAGCCTCAATTTAAAACCTAAACTGCTACGAATGAGTGAATTAGTTACAATGTGACGTCTGAGTGATGCCGCCATATTTTTCTCATGAGTTGTAATGTAAAGATGTTTCACCAGGTAACATCTTTTTTTTTTGTTGGACTGCATTAACCTGCTTGTCACACTGTTCTTGTTAATGTACGCCACTCGTACCAGTATGACACTCCTTTCACTTCATTACTGACACTTCTAATTGCGTACAAGTGCCTTATTGTAAAGGTGGCAGATGGTGTGCCACTGGTTACAAACGCAAGGCTACTGCAAATTAGATCATACTCCCCTGAAACATCTGTTGGACACCGGTGGACAAGTAAACAGCCCTCCTGCACTGAAGCAACATGAAGACAGGGAAAAACCTTTGTTGTTATTTTTTACATGAACAAAGCAGCGCGAACATAATGTGTATCAGAACCAGACAAACTCTCTTTGGATCTAATCTGGGTTGATGAAGTGGATGTAAAGCATGAAGGGTCAGCTTGATTTTTTTAGGTATTGCTGGACAATCTTATACTAGCTGCATGTCCTTTTTCTGATGTTCCCAAATTTTCTGTTGGTCATTGTTCGGTGTTTTATTTATTGATTTCGTTGGATTGGCTGCACTGTTTAAAGGTTGTAAATAAAAAAAATAAAATAAATTGAGGTAAACCTGACAGACCGCTTAATTTGATCATTATGCAGAGATCACCCAGTGATGTACAGACAAAAACCAAGGATGTGTAAAAGCTGCAATTCACTTATATAACACCAGGTGGCGGTAACACTCTGAGAAATAAAACATTATTTCTGTAGTTATTTTAAATAGGAGGGAAAAACGAAAACACAACGCATGTAAATTTTGTAAAAGCTATAATATAACTACTTGTCTGGAATAGATTTTGTTTTTCATGGAAATGTTGCCCATAATGTTCTTGAGTATTTGTGCTTGTTAACATAAAGATGAACAGGACAGTAAGTAAGGGGTGCAGATGAGATGGGTTTGTCTTTAATGTTTGATTGTAACTCTTCTCGAAGAAGAAATAAAGCATCTTGTTTTGTTTATGTGACATAAATATTCATGGTCTGTGGTCGGCTTGCGCACTGGCTGATAAATTTAAAAAAGTCAAAAACGGAACATTAAATCTTACGATCATTTTCAAGTTTATTTTTAACTCGGACCCATTAGTGATATGAGTCTTTTAAATAGTTTTTTTTAGGTATTACATTTATAGAAAATAAATTATGTAAAACATGATATCCATACTTTAGAGTATTTCACCAGCATCTAACCTGACTCTGCATTATGACGGATTGGTGTAAGAAATAAAATTAGTAAATTGTATTACCAATAAAAATAGCCAGTTTTATTGTGCAAGTACAACACAATCAATTTAGAGAAATGTATTAATTCTGTGAGCTAAATTAAATACAGAGCTTGAAGCAGGACCGTAGCTTAGCTTAATAGCATTAAGAGTGAAAACAGAGTTTTAAAAAAAATGTAACTATACTTTAAAAAAAAAAACTACCTTTCTTATTAACATGCTATGTTGTGATTATTAGAGCAACAAAAACCCAGAGTAATAAGCTCTGAACAAGCTTAAAGAAGCCTAATTACTAGCTTGAAGAAGAAGCTTGATTACTTGTATTTATGCTAAGCTAAACAGCATGCCCTGCACCTCTGCAGCTTTTAGATACACTGAAATTAAATTAAAAAAAAAAAATCGACACACTGCTGGGGAACAGATCTCAGACCTATACTGCCCTTCTCATGTTTTACACTGAACACCCTCCAAAATTTCCAAAACACTGATGGAAAACCAGTGAAAGGCATAAAAGACATGAACTCATGTATGACCACAGTTTTATTTTTCTCTGGCCCTGTGAAAGCTGGGATAGACGTAAGAAATGGATGGATGATCGGATGGTTGAGCAATGGGATCACAGAAAACTAAACAAGGGTTTATTTTTGTCCTCTTATTAGAAACAGTATAAACTCACTTTTGTGAGTCAGAGTGAGTAACTTTGATTTTCATGTAATCCAAAAGCTTCTGATCTCATTAATGAAAACTAAAACTCTCAGAATCCATTAGATGTCATCCTGGTTGCCATGGTAGTTAAAAAGAGGCTGTATGTGCGTGCGTGCTTAAGCGGATTGTCACCCATTAGGCACTTTGATGAGCCAAATCTGGTGATGTGGAAGTGACTAATTATTACACACACACACACACACACTGAGGCAACATTAAACTGAACAAGTACCCCTAATAAAGCAAGTGTCACTCTCACTAATAAAAAAAAGCTGGTGTTACTTGGAAAGATAATGGAAGGAAGCGAGCTGACGTTTAACAGATGAATTGTTTCATTTTTAGGCATCGTTTGCTTCTTCCTAAAACCCCTTGATCTGCTTGTTAAAGAAAACTCTGTGTAAGCAAAGGGTTTGATGAGCCAGAGTCTTATTATTGACCCAAGGTTTACTTTACATTCATGTCAATAAAGCTTTGGAGAAAGCAAATAATCTACAGTGCATGAAAAGGAGATCCATTATATGGTCATCACAGGTCCACAGCTCTAGCTGTGAGCACAGAATCTCCACCCACCTGCTGTTCAAACCTTCTGTTTGTCAGGGGCAGCCAATCAGAAGAAAGTAGGATTAAAGTTCGGGTAGTTACAAAGAAAGCTTGTTTCATACAGAAGATGATTTAAGAGGCAACATCAAGGCCCAGAGCGCATGCATTTTATTTATTTATATTTTTTGGTAATTGTTGCAGTTCTTCTGAATACAGTGTGTGCTTTGAATTTCTTCCTGTATAACTGAAGTCACATGACTAATCTGTTATATATTGTATATGCTCTGTGCATTACCTTGGGATGGGTGGGTCCGGGTCCATTTGCACAGATTTATTTGTTTAATAACTGGTTTGTGCTGCACGACCCTGGGGGCCACATAATAACACACTCTGGTGCTAAGTCATCACTAATGCCTGATCCGAGCTAAATGGACCTAGTTAAGGCTCTTCCTCCATCCTGTCCCCTGTTCCCCGTTGTACAGTAGCATCTTTCATCAGCTCTCCTGAGACATCCTGCCAGTGACCACGAGGTGTATATAAGACCCGCTGAGGATGTGACCAGCACTGAAGTTCGTTCTTAGCAAGTCTGCTTAGACAGCCATCTTCTTCTCTTTCCTCTTCTATATTTGTCATCAGTGTTTGTCCGACCTCCTCTCAAGTCTGAGAACATGGAGACAGCTGCAGCGGTGACTCTTCTGGCACTGATTATGGCGATGGCTGGCGTCAGTCACGCTCTTCATATCCAAGCCGGCCTGGACAAAAATGACATCTTGCCTGGCAGCTCAGAGGAGAGCATGCCTGACCGCCTGTTGGGGCTGGTGAGACAATCAAACCACTGAAAAACTTGTTAATTTTCATTTCACGTACATGTTGACAGTCTATTTTATGATCATTTGAAGCTTTAAAACTGAAATCCTATCGCTGAAGCACATGTGGTGATTTTTATGCATACTTTGTGCCTGATTTAAATATGGACTGCCTGCTCTGGTACATGCCAACATTTTCTGAGAGGATTGTATGTAAATGCGACTTGAGCCTTTTATCAAATGAGACAGGATAAATCACACAGCCCATTTAGATTTCAGATGGTGTTCCTCTTCATGCAACAGTGTGAAATACACTGTTATATATTCTGGTGTGAGCAGATAGTCGGGGGCAGGATAGCGAATCAGATAAAGGACAAGAAGATCACGAGTACTAGATTTTCTCTTTGTGACATGCAGGGACGGACAGATCTGGGTTTTACTTTGCATAAAATGAAGCGAATGGATATTTTGGTGTGCACCATGTACATCTCTCAGCCTTGGTGCCTTAATATCTACATCTCAAGGCTTTTTGCCACAGTAGGACAGACTGTTTGGAGTCATCAGCCTTTTAAGTTTGTGATGTTCTTCATGTTCTATTTAAAAAAAAAAGAAGAAAGTTTGACACGACGGTGTGTGCTTGTGTAGCCTTAAATGTGTCCTGGTGTGTTCCAGGAGAGTGAAAACAGAGATAGCGACACTGATGATCGCTTGCTGACTTCATTGCTGAGAGCCCTGCTGCACGGAGCTCAGAGAGAAGCCAGGGAGTCTGTCCTCCATCAGCCACAGAGGTCAGTGGCATCACATCGCCTGTATTAATCTACATTTCAAGTTTTCCTATCAGATGTGTTTACAGAAAAACACTAATATAGGAAGTTCACTGATGTAGTTTGGGCTTGTCACCAAATCATTTTTTACCCATTCTTTCTTCAAAAATACACCATGTGGGTAGTTTGTAACTATTTAAAGGGATTATGATATACAGTAGGTCGCACCGTGTACTGGAAGACAGGAAGAGGAAAATCCATTTAGCCATTTGCAACTACTTTCCATATCTGAATTTTAAAAGATCAAAATGACCCATTATGTACTTGAAATGTCCGTTTGTAAAAATCATTCACAGTCAAAACGATTCTTATGGCAAAGCTGGGTTCATTAAACTGGTCTCATCTTCAAGCGACCTTCCTCTGTAACAGTCCTTCAAGCTCAAATGTAACTGAGGCCCAGCTAAGATCACAACATCAACATCAATATTTTGTATTTTCTGGTCTGCGTTTACAGATGTTTATTTATCTAAAATCATAGTTTGGAGTTGAATTAATTGAAATAATTCCCACTCTTGGTGCTTTTCCCGTCACAGGTTTGGCCGCAGCTCCAGAGGGCAGGTTGTGCTGGAGGATCAGATGCATTCCCGTGACTGGGAGGCTGCCCCCGGTCAGATCTGGAGTATGGCCGTGCCTCAGAGATTTGGCAAGAAGTAATGTTGCAGTCATGCGGTGTTGCCCTGGTGGAAGGTCAAGCAGCCGAGAGTTATAAAGATACTAGATTTGTTCCACTCTAAGCTCCAGCCCACTAGGCTTGACTTTACACCTGGTGTCCAGTGAAAGATGACACTAGCTTAATCTTTCATGATTATGATTGTTGTTATTTTCTTTGAATTTCCAACACTGGGAAGCACGGTGACTGGTGATTGTTTGGATCGGCTTGTTAAGGACTGAAAATGTTTGTTGTAAATTGTTAGTTGCTATGTTTTTGTTGTTCTTCCGTTCAAATAAAAGAACTTTAATCTTGTAATGCTAATTTCATCTGTATTTGTGTTCAGTGTTATCAGTGTTCAAATATCACAGTAATCCGTTAAAGAAAGGTGGGAACAAACAGATGTTGAAATTTTATAAATCCAGCTGTTGAGTTCATTTAAATATGGCCACTTAATCTGTTGCTAATCATGTTTTAGTTTGTGAAATGTGTGTAAAAATGGCAAATCCAAGTTTTCTCAAGCCAAGGTGAGATCTTAAAGTGTCCTGTTTGTCCAAATAAACTCTCAAATCCCCCAAAATCTTCCACTTAAATATATAATATGATAAATACAATAAATGGTGTTTATAAATAGATAATGGTGAATTCTGCATTTTAGAAGCTATAACCAGCCAACATTTATTATTTCTATCGAAACTGTTTTATCAGCTCATAAACTAATAAATGAGGGTTTTTTTAGCCTAAAAAGCTTAAAATCATTTAGCTTAAGTTCTTATTTCAGCACTTAGCGTTGGTTTTTTTTGTTTGTTTTTTCTAATATCAGCCTTCCTTGTTTTTAAATTCGATCAAAGGACAAATGGTATATTTTTTGTTTGTTTGCAGGACGGTGTTATATCTGCTGGATCTGCAGCCAGTACTCACATCAGCTCGGCCATAAACAAGAGCATAACTGAAATGTGTCTGTGCTGGTTCACTTAAACATCAGGGGAATGTAAATGCAGTGGAGACCACACACAGAGAGATGAATGAAATACGATCGTAATGTAAGTATTTTTCATTTCTCTACAAACAGCACCGTGCGGGGGGTTAATGTAGTGGGATAAGGATGGAAATCCTGTGTTCATTGTGCCGTGATGGTCAGCACTTCTCTGTGTCTGTGGCTTATTTACAGGCCACCTGGGGAAGCAGCATGCAACTAATTAAAACACAGCAACATGCAATTACTCTACACATTACTGGTGTCCACAGCTAATTACTGGGAAGGAAAGCATGTCAATCCCACTTAAAATGAGTCTTTTATAACCTCGAGCTCTCGTTCTGCTGCAACACCCCAGAAGACAAAATAAAGTAATGTTGTTGGGTTTTTTTAAGACTAATGACCAATGATTCAGTCATTTTATTATTATTTTGGTTATTTTTAATCAAATGTAACTTTAAATTCTTGTTTATGGTTTAATCTGTGTTTGTTGTCGTAACATCACAGGTTTGAGCAGATTGCTCCCGGCCTCTGGACTCTGATCTTTACAGTTCTAATTAGAAATGAAACAAACAAACAAACATACAAGAACCATACAAATGAAAACCTTGTTACAAAACAAAAAGGGTAAGATTGACCGCAGAGCGTAACAAGACATTGTGGCACAGAACAAAGGGAACCTGTGCTGCACACAGAGAGCCCTGATTGGATGATTACTTACAGGTGATGATGACTGGAAGTAAAGCTGACTGGAATCTGAGTGCATTCGAAATAAAATGTGAAAATAAATGCAAATCTATGACAGTATTTACCTGTTAATATGAGTACTTTATCAAACATAAACAGAGACTCTATATGAAATATGAGCAGCACTGCGTTAAGAGCTGCTGTTTCAAAGCATCTTTAAGCAAGTTGGTCATCATCATCTTGTTTTTACTCGTGACGAGAAAGAACCACATCTAACTTTAGAGATATGCGTGGCTTTGACTTACATCTGTCTTACATACCAGCTTTGACAATGAGACATAAATGTGAGATAACAAGAAACATATTGAGACAAAAGAAAACAACAGAGGCAGAGCAGGTGCTGTTGTCCACACAGCTGTAGCCTCTCATCAGCTTAACTGACTTAAAGAAAGTCGGCTCATCTGAATTTCATGAGTCTGCAGGGGGTTCAGGCAAAACATCTGTGTGTGCAGTAATTATACCAGAAAGCTGCAAAGAGAGCGAGATCGAAAACCCAGACTGACTGACAGATACACTGGGTATAAAGACTGCTTTAGACAGCTCCTGTGTGCAGCACTGTTTTACACACACACACACACACACACACACACACACACACACACACACACACACACATTCTTGTTTTCATGTCTTAGTGACGACAACTATTGACATAATTGTCCGCCTTTTGGTCCCCAGAAAGATGTCTAAACAGGTATACACACACACACACACACACACACACACTCTCTCTCTCACACACACACACACACAGAGAAACCTTTCTTTTTTGTTTGATGACCTTTATCCGACCTCCACACTTCCACTTTCCCTCATGGTCATCATCTTGGATGGCAGCCATCTTGAACAGCAAAGAGGGAGGTCTCAGCCATTAGTGGTCATGGCCGTGACACAGCACAATTTGTCACACACACAACAGGCTTTAATGGCTACAGTGTGATCAAATGATCTTGTTTGGAGAGAACACAGGTAACTTTAAGGTTAAACGGGAATCTGTCCTCTGCTGCACGCAGTGGAAACTTTTGAACTGCACCTTTAAAATTTCACTATATATACAAAATAAATAATGTTGGAAACACTAAAAATAGGCAACAGTTTTTTTTCCATGCCCCTGCCCTGTCTTAAAGAACTATACTATTAGTGTTCCCTGTCACCTCTTTACTTGTTTTACCCACTAACTGTCAACTTAAGTCAAATTAAGCATATTTAAACTTGCATATGTATTAAAGTACACAAAGCTTTAACTATTGAAAAAAACAAAGAAGATTTCTGTTACATGCAGCAAAAAAGTATAAAGTGACAGCATGCATTTAAAAAAATATAGGAGGTCTACACTTTATTTAAAGAAGTTGAGACTTAAATTGGTTTCAGAGGTTCAAGTAGTATCTGAATTGTTTTTCTGTCTTACTTTGGATTCAATTAGAAGCACTCAATAATTTAGATTCTCAACCACAGCAGCAAATCTCAAACAGAATGACAGAAAAAGAAAAGATTCAAAGTGTTGCAGTGATCCAAAGTCCAGACTTTCAATGCTGTTTCAGGACCTTAAGAGAATAAATGTTAATAAATGTGGTATATTATAGTTTAGTGCCAACAGTTTGTCACCAAACAGGACTTGCCCAGTTTCTGTTAGACTATGTGATTGGCTAATACCTTTTCCCTTTGAAAGTTCAATAAAAGAGTCAGAGAGATAAAACTCTGCTGATGTGAAGGAGCAGCAGAGACGAAGCTTTTGTCCTTCGTTCACTGCTCACATCAGAGGCTGCTCTGGAAAACGTGCAGCCAGCTGTTGTCTCTCACAAACACACTCACATAGAGCACGCGGCCCCTTATTAACAGTTTTCTGCTTTGATGACAGAGACATTTTTCAGTAAAAGCTCTAATTACATTGGCAGCTTTTTATTATTTCTCTCACTCCTTTACTACCAGCTACAAGACAAAAAATATGCAATCCCACCACAGCAAGAAACAGTCTAAGATCAGAAGAAGAAAACACAGAATTCTGTGTTTTTGTTCATTTTTACATGATTTTTTTTTAAAAGATGTGATTATTTACCAAAATATTCTCTATGTTTAGACTTTTTTGAGTGACTATTATCCAATCTAAAGCATTTAAAATGAGGAATTATAGCAAATGTTATTGTAAAAGATGCAAATGGTGCAGCCCATGTGGCTGCTTCATTCCTGCTGAGCTCCTTTGTTGTCTGCTGTTTCTGGATGAACTGTTCACGCTAAAATGGAAAAAAAGATATTGCATGGTCTTTTGAAACAGTGAGAGTGCTTTCTTCCACTAGACTGTACATCAGAAATATTAATAATTTTCATATTTAGTGTGGAGTTAAAGTTTAGCTTGCTCTTCACACCTGCTTGAAATTTATCCTAAAACAGAGCAGAGTTTGAAGGCGTCACGCTTGATATTTATTTCACTCCCAAAAAGCACTGCACATTTGACACACCGTATGCTCCTTGGCTGGTGTCAGGTATCGGGGCCCAGTGGACATGTGGTGTGGGGACACTGGGGCTAAGAGACAATCAATAAAGCTTGTGCTGGCCAGGCGTCAGACAGGACAAGCCTGGCCAGTGATGAACAAAGAAATCATCAAAAACAGAACACACACACACACACACACACACACACACACACACACACACACACACACACACACACACACACACACACACACACACATCACAGCCTCAAACTGTTCCTACATCAGGACGTATCAAACAAAAGGCAGAAAACTGCAGAAGTCTGAGAAAACCCTTTTTGTGTAAAGCATTACGGCAAATGAAGAACTGCTTAGTGTGCATAACAGTATGTTTTTATTTTTATAAGCTCAGATTATTCTCTCACATGGTCAATATTGGCTCAGAATTGCATTACGCTGCATGATTCCCAGGTAACTGTACCATCTGTGTAGGGACTATGCACAGAGCTGTTCAGTAATGAACACTGTGCATGTGTTAAATAAACCAACAAACAAATTTGTATATGTGTAGATGTCAGCTTGACCTCATTCTGAATGAGACCACTTGTATCTAAAATACAGCGTAGGCTGTTTTTAAGCATGTGTAGGCAAGTGATTTTAAAAATACTCTTGAAGAAGAGGCTGGATAAATCCTACCCATTTCTACCCTTTGAGAGAGCATGCCTTTGTCATCCTCGCTCTCTCGTCTGTGCAGGGGCTGCTGCAGAGCAGCCCTGAGCTCAGACAGCCAATAAAGACGGAAAGAAACGTGAAAAGAGGGTGGGACTTGACGTGAAAGCGAATGAGAGTGAAGGAGAGGTGTTCCTTGCGGAGAATGCCCTTGCTTGAGCATTGAGAGCCTGGAGAGACAGAGAGGGAAGATAGAATAGAGACACTAGCAGGTGTTGAAGATAGGGAAAATCATTAGAGACCGGGTGGCACAAAACAACAAGGCAATTAGGGGAAAGTGTGTTTAAAGGCAAAAGTAAAGAACAGAAAAGAGTCAGACAGAAACTCAAACAATCTGATTCTTTTTTAATAAGCTGGAGCTCACTTATTTTTCAGCTCTTTATCCTCCTTGTTTCGTACGGATTCTCCTTTCTCGATCATCCCCTTCTTCCTCCCGTTTGCCTCTCTGACAGACAGTGCCACCATGGAAACTGGAAGCCCTAGGAAGATACAGTTCACCGTCCCTCTACTGGACACCCACTTGGACCCAGAGGCAGCTGAACAGGTAAGGTGGAGGGAAAGGAGGCAGGAAGAAAGGTGGAAGGAGCAGGTGTGGGTAATATGGGACTTTTAAGGGATTCCTCTTTGCATCAGTGAGACACGATTAGAGTACTACTCCCACTTTTTTTAAAAAACAATCAAGATGACTAGTGAAGATGCAAGAAAAAATTGCTTTATACTTGGAACGATTTGCAAAATCTCTGAACACATATTTAAAGCATATGTAATCTAGCTGTCAAAGCAAGCAGGTGTAGTCAGAGCTGAGCAGCTGAGCATGCTACATCCCAAATGCTGTAGTTTACACTGATGAGTAACTGCTGCTTTAAGTAGACCACATTTTCTTCTGTGCATCTAATTAGCCTGACGTATGTTTTGACTACAGCTCTAATGTGAAGATGATGAATTCATAACTGATTTTTCCATCTGCACTCACAGTGAGCGGCTTTACCGAGATGCATAGTATCTCAGCGGTGGTTAAGGGGGGGTGCCGCAGTATATTGATGTCTCTAGGAGGTCAGTGTTTTTTTTTTTTTTTCATTAGTGACTGACTGCTTGTATCCTACAGCAATGAAATGCTGACAGGGTGAATGAATTTTACTCATTCATCATTAATGGACTTTTTCTTCTAAGGTAATTTAACTGCACAACTCAACTTGATTTGTGGCAAACACCACTTTATGACATAAAAAAAGAGAACTCCTGTTAGTGTCTGAAGGAGCTTAGTGAGTGCAATCCATCCTTCTGTTGGGAATATAGTGAAAAGAGGTGTCCCATTTTCTCATTTTTATAAATATAACATGAACAGGACAGGTCGTTCATAATGAATGAAGCTCAAGTAAAGCTGGCAAGGATTTAGGAGTCTGGCTACACTCTGTCTCACTCGCTGCTTTTCCCGACACTAGTTTTTCCCTCGCTGATACTATGAAACCCAAAGGGAAGGTAGATGGTGTGTGTGTGTGTGTGTGTGTGTGTGTGTGTGTGTGTGTGTGTGTGTGTGTGTGTGTGTGTGTGTGTGTGTGTGTGTGTGTGTGTGTGTGAGAGAGAGGGAGAGTTTGCTCTTGTGTAGAGATTTCAGTTTGAGAGTTAAGTTAAGACATAGAGCTACTGTAGCAGGTGGAGAATGTATGACTACAAGCCTCAGATATGAGAAACTAAATATGAGATGGCTGCATCTGCTGGTGTGTACATGCATTTCAGTCAGCGTAACATCAGTTTGACATAGACACACGGAGTCGTATACAGCAAAATAAGACAGTTGGCACAAAATCTGGAGCCGTTTCCAGTCTGGTTTGGTGTCTACTTCTGCATGAAAACAATTTGTGCTTCTTATATAAAGGAGAACTAATTAAATGCAATGTTTAAGAATAAGAGCACTCTCTGACATAAAGGCAAATTACAGGATAGACCTGGAGCCACAGCCCCTGCAGTGATGATGTAGGCAAACCCAAAAGATCCTAGCTCCTCCCAGGATCCCTCGATAACAAAATCAATTGTTGCTGGATGATTGCAGAAAAATTGCCATTTTTGTTCAGGAAGGTAATCTTTACTTATTCACATTGACATGCAATTGAAACCATCATAAATAAAAGATCAAGCTACACGATCTCAGTGTCACTTCTACAAAGTGTTTGATGACTTGATGTTGAGCTTTTGGAGTAAACGCCTCCTTAACAACACGTAAAAGGTCACAAATTTAGAAGTGGTGTTTTTACTTATGTACTGTCAGTGGGTAAAGTTGAACAAGGTAAAGCTATATCAAGCTTTTATTAGTTAGAGAGTTTTTTTTTCTGGGACTTTACTCACCAAACAACTGCTTTAATTTGGGGCTTTAACAACTGTTCTCTCTAATAAACTGTATTATCCTTGTCAGAGTTGGTCTCTTCTGTGATGAAAATACCCAATTTAAAGGGCACCAGTAGTGGCTGAATGATTTCATATGTATACATATTAAACATGTGCTAAATCTAAAGCTATAGCTTTTACCTGTGGGAGATTTTGGATATACTGGGCAGTGCTGTCCACATATCCTCATGTTCTTGTTCTTATGTTTAAGAATAACACTATACAACAGGCAGGTGACAAATTACAGGATACCTGGAATAACCTGGATAAACCAGGGTCAAGCAGGACAAACCTGACTTTTTGGCTAACCAAAAGTTAGCACCACCCATGATGTCTTGATAAAAAGTCAGTGGTACTTTTTGTTCAGGAGGTTAATGTTCAATGTCTTTAACACCGCTATCATCAGAACATAAATTCAGGGAATATCTTTTGGATAAACATTGTTCATTCCTCCACTAAATGCACACATAATGGGGATGTATTGTTATGCTATTTTACTCCAGTTTAAATCATAGTTTGGGTCGCACCAGCTACTCATAAATCAATACGAAGTCCTCTGTAATTCTTAATAAACACTTGGCTCATCTCATAGTACCAGTTCTGCGTTCGCTCCCAGCCAGCGAGCCGGGCTCTTACCCTTTAAAATTTGAGAAAAGATTGCGATCATTTCAGCCTGAAGACTTCTCATGATTCATTTTCCTGATAAAACCATGAGACGTGAGCACCAGTTATCCTGAGGGAAACTTGGGAGGGAGCCAGTTACTAAATGGTAGCTTGATTAGTCTTTCACTCACCCAGGCTGGACGACGGATTTACAAATAAGAAACACTGCCAACTACACTCTACAAAAATATAAACGCAACACCTTTGTTACTGCTCCCATTCCCCATGGGATGGACGTAGAGACCTAAAATTCATTCCAGATACACAATATAACCATCCCTCCCAAACAGTGGTCACAAATCAGTCCAAATGTGTGGTAGTGGGCACATCTGCTATATTGAGATAATCCATCCCACCTCACAGGTGTGCCACATCAGGATGCTGATCTGACATCATGAGTAGTGCACAGGTGTACCTCAGACTGCCCACAACAAAAGGCCACCCTGGAATGTGCAGTTTTGTCTCACAGCAAAATGCCACAGATGCCACAAGCAATGAGGGAGCGTGCAATTGGCATGCTGACAGCAGGAATGTCAACCAGATCTGTCGCCCGTGCATTGAATGTTCATTTCTCAACCATAAACCGTCTCCACAGGCGTTTCAGAGAATATAGCAGCACATCCAACCGGCCTCACAACCGCAGACCTCGTGTAACCACACCAGCCCAGGACCTCCACATCCAGCAGGTTCACCTCCAAGATCGTCTGAGACCAGCCACCCAGACAGCTGCTGGAACAATTGGTTTGCACAACCAAACAATTTCTGCACAAACTGTCAGAAACCGTCTCAGGGACGCTCAACTGCATGCCCGTCGTCCTCATCGGGGTCTTGACCTGACTCCAGCTCGTCGCCGTAACAGACTTGTGTGGGCAAATGCTCACATTCGATGGCGTCTGGCACGTTGGAGAGGTGTGCGCTTCACGGATGAATCATGGTTCACATTGTTCAGGGCAGATGGCAGCTGAGAATGTTCCAGTTCTTGCATGGCCAGCATACTCACCGGACATGTCACCCATTGAGCATGTTCGGGATGTGCTTGACCGGCGTATACGACAGCGTGTACCAGTTCCCACGAATATCCAACAACCTCGCACAGCCATTGAAGTGGAGTGGACCAACATTCCACAGGCCACAATTGACAATCTGATAGACTCCATGCGACGATGTGTTGCACTGCATGAGGCAAATGGTGGTCACACCAGATACTGACCGGTTCTGGGTCCCCAGACCCCCAATAGCGCAAAAAACTGCACATTCCAGGGTGGCCTTTTGTTGTGGGCAGTCTGAGGTACACCTGTGCACTACTCATGATGTCAGATCAGCATCCTGATGTGGCACACCTGTGAGGTGGGATGGATTATCTCAATATAGCAGATGTGCCCACTACCACACATTTGGACTGATTTGTGACCACTGTTTGGGAGGGATGGTTATATTGTGTATCTGGAATGAATTTTAGGTCTCTACGTCCATCCCATGGGGAATGGGAGCAAAAACAAAGGTGTTGCGTTTATATTTTTGTTGAGTGTAGTTTCAAACAGTTATTTTGCTAAATCATGTAGCACCTTCACAATATGTGAAATGTTCTTAGTAACTGACTTCAGCAGTATAATGCGGTGGAATATAATCATTCAGAACCATAAAATGGAAATACCTTCAGACAGCATGCGTAAAAGTTCAAGAGGGGGTCCATTATATTGTTGTAATAAAGAACACGAGGCATCACAGGTGCTGGAATTGTTTTTTTTTATTTTAAATGTAATAAAAAATGGCCACCTTTCACAGGTAAGGTGAAAACATGTTGGGTTGCACTGCTATGGAAATTACATATTACATGACAGGTATTACACTGGTATTTGTATTCACACAGATCACTCTTTGTGCTGCGCTGTCATGGCATAAATGATTAACAATACAGAAGAAGTTTGCAATCATTTAACAGTGACTGAGTCTTAAAAAACAGATTAGGGTTGCAACAGGGCTTCAAGTGTCAGGGTTCTTGTAATCTATATAAAATATAGAGATAATTTGGAGATTACAGAGTTTTATAACATATGTGAATACATTTCATTAGTAAACAAACAAACAAACAATCTTTGTCTCAAACTGAGTCTGTTGGGATCTGGTCACGCTTCACGCTCTCAAAATTTCTGCAGTGCATGTTCTTTTTCTCAACATCCGGCTTTGCAAGGGTATCTGTAGGATGCAGACGTAATTTCATGTGTCTGTCTTGTTTGTGTCTGAGTGTTGGGGGAGTTGGTGTTGTCTGTATTTATTCAGTTACACGTCTGATTCCAGGCTGCGGCCGTTCAATTTAAGACTTAAACGGCTCGCAGCCGTGTGTTTACCTGCTTTCTTTCACGAGCAGATAGATCTCCTTCTAGGTTTATATGGGTAAAACTTGCTTTACTGTTTCTGCAAAGACTCAAGAGAGTCCTTAGCTCACAGCCTCAATAAGCATGACCAAAAGCGTGCCTGATTGCCACTGGGACTTTACAT